CAGTATAAACTCAGCTATTTTGTGAAACTTTGAAAAGCAGCAACTTTCCATGTCTTATTGAAATATGTCAGGAGTTTTGATGTTTCTATCAACTTCTGAAACCTTTTCAGTGGGCACATCTTCAAATTATGCTATTTTTGCCAAGAACACTGGCCTGACCGGTATGACAATGCTGACCATGGCCCTGGTTTACAACGACAGTTTCACAGTGTCGATGATTAACCAGCCCAGGAATTTAGTTCTGAGCTGTGAGGTCAAAATAGGAACAAGTTTCCTTTCTGGGTATTTCAACCCAACGACAATACTGACTTTAGTTTATTCATCAGTGTGAAGATAGTGCTAGTGGCTTGGAATTGCTAATTTAGCCGACATATCTCACACACACTGGCTCAAGCCTCTACAATACAAACGAAGGACACAGGTGCTCCCTCCACTGGTCACATCATCATCATCGTTCTTACGCAGTTTCACTTTTACACAGTCAAATTTCTGGTTACTAATGAATTCAAATCAATTTAAATTTTTTCGCACCTGCCCAACACCATACAAAATATAAAGGGATTAGAGGGACTGTGGCATATGCGGCAGGAAAGAGAGCAGGAAGGTGCAGGAGTAGACACAGGTGGACAGAAACCTGTTTCTGGGATACTGGAAGGGTGCAGAGAACAGCAGCGGTGTGTTGCCATCTAACAGGTTTCTGTACAAATAGTAAATTTGGAGGTATTTGAAAATTATTAACGGTGGCCATATTTTGAAACAAAAAAAAAGCGAAATGAAGTAACACTAACATATTTGACGCCTAATTCGAGGAAGGAAAAGAGTACTGCTCTTACGCATTCGCAACAAACTACTCCCACGTGCTCCCGACATTGGCTGTGATCATCCCGAACACTCGTCCCACGTGGCTTCAGTGGCTGCCCATAGTGGTTTCAATCGTTCCCGATGCTCGCCCCACTTGTATCTTAAACTAGTCCTCCTGGCGCTTCCTCGGATAAATGGGATATTTTGTACAGAGAGCAGGCTACTAAACTGTCATATTTTGCAAAAGCAGACATACATTTACATGCAGTCAAAGCTTGGTCACTACAAAAGCACGCGGAGCACTGGACGAATGCTTTCACTTTTTTCATGCGCGACTGTAATCTGGAATGGCTCATTTTTATGCGCTTTTTGCAGCAACAGAATGCTAATTGCATTAGAGCGAAAACCGTGGTATGTTTTTGTGTGTCTGTACCAGTCTGAGCTAACACCTCAATTCTAAAACAATAAACACTAGAAAGCTGAAATTTTGCGAGCAAAGCTTCAGACCTTTGGAAAAAGTCCCATGACAAAACAAAGGCTGGAACGCACCAGGCGAGCCGGTGCGATCATGCGTTTTTGCATCAAAACTAA